TAATCAAATACAGTAATTGTCTAATCCAGCCGCCGTCTCATCTTGAGGAAGCAGCGGTAGCAGCATCCGATACGTACTGGGACAATACACTCTAATCCACTCTCTTACTGGATTAAACCAATCCTCCCATTCATTCTACACAACATCGGGGTACGGAGAAAGAGGGAGCGAGGACGGAGAGAGGGAGGGGGATCAAGAGAAGCTATGAGATAGAGAAGGAGAAAGGAACTGATACAGAGACATGAACGGAGAGATAGGGGAAAGCTTGGAAAAGATGGAGAGAAACACGGGAGAGAGGAACAGATATAGCTACAGAAATGGGGAGAAATTGAGAAAGAGGCAGAGATGATAGCAGAGGTTGTCCAGTAGCAGAGGTTTGGCATGGGTGGGAGGCAGCGAAGGATGCATGCTGCTCCATTGTGCTGCTGTTGCAGGACACTGACTTGGCTGAAACCACAGCGCACACAGGCTCTGTCTGGCTGATATAGGTGTCCTTGTATCTTTTTATTTGGCCATTCCTCACACTCTCTTTCCATCCATCCCTGTCTCCTCCTGTCTTCTGCCCATGCCAACCCACTGTTGGAGAAACTGGTGCTTTGTGCGGTGTTTTCCGTGCTTTTCCCATCCAACAGAACCTGTTAGCCTAGCCACCATCAACTAAACAGCAGGCCAAACACATTTCAGCTGGGCTCTCAAGGCCAGGGAGGTGGCGCTCTAAAGTGGGACAAATGTGGTTGCATATGTGACAGTATTTTGCTGTGTGACCTGGAGTTTTATTTTTGCGACAAGAAATACAATAAAAAATAAAGGAGTAGTGGTGTCTATTCAGCATTAAGGGGGGGGGGGGGGGGGGGGCAGGTAGCTGACTAGTGGTGGCTATTCAGCAGCTTGATGATCTTCCTGGCCTTCCTGCGACACCTGGTGGTGTAAGTGTCCTGGAGAGCAGGCAGTGTGCACCCAATGGTGCGTTCGGCTGAGCGTAGCACCCTCTGTAGTGCCTTGTGGTCAGCGGTGGTAGAGTTGCCGTACCAGGCTGTAATGCCGCCCAACAGTATGCTCTCGATGGTGCTCCTGTAGAACACTGTGAGGGCCCTCGGGGACAGGCCGAACCTCTTCAGCCTCCTGAGGTTACAGAGTTGCTGTTGTACCTTCACCACGGTGTCCGTGTGGTTTGAACATTTCAGCTCCTCGGAGATGTGTACGCTGAGGAACTAAGTTTTTGACCGTTTTGCTGACGTTGAAGGAGAGGTTGTTTACCTGGCACCACAGAGTGTCTACCTCCTCCCTGTAGGCCGTCTCATCGTTGTGTCGTGTCGTCAGCGAACTTGATGATGGAGTTGGAACTGTGTGAGGCTACGCAGTCGTGGGTATACAGGGAGTACAGGAGGGGACTGAGGATGCACCCTTGTGGGGACCCCGTGTTGAGGATCAGTGTGGAGGAGGTAATGTTGCCTACCTTCACCACCTGTGGGCGGCCCGTCAGGAAGTCTAGGGAGGAGTTCAGTCCCGGGGCTGTGAGCTTTGTGTTGAGCTTAGAGGGCACTATGGTATCACATATGCATTCCTCTTGTCCAGGTGGGTGAGGGCAGTGTGCAGTGCAATTGTGATTGCGTCTTCTGTGCATCTGTTGGGGCGGTAGGTGAATTGGAGCGGGTTGAGTGTGTCGGGGAGGGAAGAGGTGATGTAGTCTTTGATTAGCCTCTCGAAGCACTTCATGATGACGGAAGTGAGTGCTACGGGTTGGTAGTCATTCAGTTCAGTTACTTTCCCTTTCTTGGGCACGCGGACGTTGTTGTCCGCTACGTGACTGGCTTTTTATTTGTTATCCGTGATCGTTAGAAGCCCCTGCCACATACGCCTCGTATCCGACCCGCTGAATGCTCCTACACTTTGTCCCTATACCTGTGTCTCGCCATTTTCTGCGTAGGTCATATTTGTACTGTTTAACCATTGTCACGCCCTGGCTCTGGGGACTCTTAAATGTTGAGCCAGGGTGTGTAGTGTCTATGTTTTGTTTTCTATGTGTTTCTTTCTAGATCGTTTATTTCTATGTTGGCCAGGGTGGTTCCCAATTAGAGACAGCTGTGGCTTGTTGTCTCTGATTGGGAACCATACTTAGGCAGCCTGTTTTGCACTTGTCATTTGTGGGATCTTGTTCCGGAGAGGTTTGTGTTTTGTTAACCATAGGACTTCACGTATCGTTTTGTTTTATTGTGTAGTACTCAATAAAAGATGTACGCATATCGCGCTGCGCCTTGGTCTGCTTCTTACGACGATCGTGACAACCATACAATTGTCACCTTGCCATGTTTTTAAGTAGTGTCTCTCTCCTTCAGTTTCCAGAGGCTGCCATCAATCAACAGTTTTTGATTCGGATAAGTTTTGAAAGACACCATCGGTATCACATCATCTATGCATTTTTTTATGAATCCGGTGACTGATTCATAAAAAAATGCATAGATGATGTGATGCATCCGGTGACTGAGTCGGTGTATTTATTGATGTTATCCCCAGAGGCGACCCCGAACATGCTCCAGTCCACATTATTAAAACGGCCTTGGAGTATGGATTCAGCCAAGGGAGTGGGCTCACTCACAATTTTGCCTAAGAACACAGCCATGAATAAAGAATGGTACCAACACATCCTCCGAGAGCAAATTCTCCCAACCATCCAAGAACAGTTTGGTGACGAACAATGCCTTTTCCAGCATGATGGAGCACCTTGCTATATGGCAAAAGTGATAACTTTGGCTCGGGGAACAAAACATTGACATTTTGGGTCCATGGCCAGGAAACTCCCCAGACCTTAATCCCATTGAGAACTTGTGGTTAATCCTCAAGAGGCGGGTGGACAAACAAAAACCCACAAATTCTGACAAACTCCAAGCATTGATTATGCAAGAATGGGCTGCCATCAGTCAAGGTGTGGCCCAGAAGTTAATTGACAGCATGCCAGGGCGGATTGCAGAGGTCTTGAAAAAGAAGGGTCAACACTGCAAATATTGACTCTTTGCATAAACTTCATGTAATTGTCAATAAAAGCCTTTGACACTTATGGAATGCTTGTAATTATACTTCAGTATACCATAGTAACATCTGACAAAAATATCTAAAAACACTGAAGCAGCATACTTTGTGAAGACCAATACTTGTGTCATTCTCAAAACCTTTGACCACGACTGTACACTAATTATACATTATAATATATGTTATAGTAGTGTCTATGGAGCCTCCCACTTTCTTGTTGCGGCTCTATTTCCATTTGATTCTCTTCCCAGCCCATGTTCCCTTCCTACCTACAGTATCCATAGTCACACTGCTATTGCTGCCGTAAAACCACATGCTCTAAATAAAACTCAGTCCGATGAGTCAGCATGTTGGGCTAACACGACAGAGCCACGCCACAGAGAGGGAGGGAGAAAATACATGGCTGTATGCTAATTGGCTGATTGATTCAAGCGCATGGCTCTGATTGGTCATAATTCCTGTGTGTGTGTGTGTACAACACAGTAAGCTATGCAAAGTCCCTGGAGGTGTTGAGAAGTTGGGATGAATCAGCAGTTTGACCCGCTTGCACTTGACCCAAGCTGCACTCTCTCTACATACACATACACACTTAGAGGGAGGTGAACAGTACACACAAAATACACATATGAATACTCTCAAGAACTAACACAATACACACACTTTACTTTTTCCCTTTTAAACACACACAGAAAACTACTCTCAGACACTCATACATGCACACTAACAATGTACTGTACAGAAATATTCTCAGTTCATAACACACACATACTCTCTCACACTTGTATTGTGTGTTGTTGCAGTGTTCCTCTCTATAGGGCCCCTAAATGGAGCCATCACTCCTGTCTGTCAGTGGTGTACCCTACCATCCATGTACTCCTCTCATTCGCTCCCTCCCTCCATCCGAATGTAAATGAGGCCTGGGAGAGGAGCGGCGCAAGGGACAATGAGGATGGGAGAGGGGGTGGGAGAAGGAGAGAACAGGGGAGAGGACGAGCTCTCATTAATCAGCTGTGGCAGATACAAATGAGGGACCTTGCTCTCTCTACCTGCTAGCTGCTGCAGTGTCACTGCTACACTCTTGTGCTCCCTCTCTGCCCTCCACTCTACATATTCCCTGCTACATAGGTTGCGTCCCAAATGGCACCCTATTCTTTATACAGTATAATGCCGCACTACTTATGACCAGAGCCCTATAGTCCCTGGTCAAAAGTAGTGCACTATATTGTCATTAGGGTGCAATATGGGATGCAGCCAGTGTCACTGTTATTCTCAACCTCTTTCTCTCTCTACCTGTATCTGCCCTAGCGGCTAGCTGCTACACAGTGTCACTGCTACCCTCTCTTCTCTCCCTGCAACAGTCGTCCATCTGACGAGAGAGGGAGGGAGTGTTCCATTCCTTCTGTTAACTCCCTCAGTCTCACAGTGTTCTGTGAGGCATGCAGGTACAAGAAAATATGATTTACCTGTCTAACCAGACTCAATTCCATTCTCCACTGACTCACCTGTTGAGGGTAAAGTGTGGATCACTCTATCTCTATGTCACAACCTCACACTGTGACTGAAGTTATTTGATCAGGGGGATTTTATTCTGCCGATAGAGGATGACGTTAGGAAACAAAATACTACCTACTGTACATACTAAATCTTTGGCCAAAAATAACAGGTTTTCATATGATGTGTTAAAGAACTTCAAGACCACCATGAAAAGGTTAGTATGTTGCCTCTTGTCTCCCTCTTTGGCTGCGTTTACATGGGCAGCCAAATTCTGATTGTTTTTTTCACTAATTGATCTCTGAAAAATATCTGATGTGAAAAGATCTGATGTGGTTGGTCAAAATACCAATTAGTGGAAAAACTATCAGAATTTGGCTGCCTGTGTAAATGCAGCCTATGAGGATCTCAACCCAACCCCACTGCAGCACTGACTCATGAGTGTCCAGTGCACACTGCTGGATCCACAGCTAGTCTCAGGAGCGCTGATAGATGTGGCCAAACATCTGGGAAACCTGAAGTTCAGAGTCTGGGAAAAGATGTAGATTGTAAAATACAGTAAGTGAGATGGATTAAGATGTTAATATTAATGTTGAGTTAACTGAAAGGTAGTTCATTATTGTGACAAGCATTTTTCATAAAACAGTTTCTTTGCCCCTGTGATTCTTGACCCAACACCGCACATGCCTGTCTCTCTCTGTCCGATGATCTGACCAGTGTGAGACGCTTAGGCCACAGGCAACCCAGAGCGTTATATATGTTCTATGCATATGTTCTGGACTCTGAGGGGTTCAGCTCAGGGAAGCACAGCTGGAAGGCGGAGGTGGGGGACCACCTTCGCTGGAGTTGGTCAATTGCAACTGAAATTTGACCTCTTGACCTAACCTCTCCGAAAGACACACATACAGTGGGAAGAACAAGTATTTGATACACTGCCGATTTTGCAGGTTTTCCTACTTACAAAGCATGTAGAGGTCTGTAATTTTTATCATAGGTACACTTCAACTGTGAGAGACGGAATCTAAAACAAAAATCCAAAAAATCACATTGTATGATTTTTAAGTAATTAATTTGCATTTTATTGCATCACATAAGTATTTGATCACCTACCAACCAGTAAGAATTCCGGCTCTCACAGACCTGTTAGTTTTTCTTTAAGAAGCCCTCCTTTTCTCCACTCATTACCTGTATTAACTGCACCTGTTTGAACTCGTTACCTGTATAAAAGACACCTGTCCACACACTCAATCAAACAGACTCCAACCTCTCCACAATGGCCAAGACCAGAGAGCTGTGTAAGGACATCAGGGATAAAATTGTAGACCTGCACAAGGCTAGGATGGGCTACAGGACAATAGGCAAGCAGCTTGGTGAGAAGGCAACAACTGTTGGCGCAATTATTAGAAAATGGAAGAAGTTCAAGATGACGGTCAATCACCCTCGGTCTGGGGCTCCATGCAAGATCTCACCTCGTGGGGCATCAATGATCATGAGGAAGGTGAGGGATCAGCCCAGAACTACACGGCAGGACCTGGTCAATGACCTGAAGAGAGCTGGGACCACAGTCTCAAAGAAAACCATTAGTAACACACTACGCCGTCATGGATTAAAATCCTGCAGCGCACGCAAGGTCCCCCTGCTCAAGCCAGCGCATGTCCAGGCCCGTCTGAAGTTTGCCAATGACCATCTGGATGATCCAGAGGAGGAATGGGAGAAGGTCATGTGGTCTGATGAGACAAAAATTTAGCTTTTTGGTCTAAACTCCACTCGCCGTGTTTGGAGGAAGAAGAAGGATGAGTACAACCCCAAGAACACCATCCCAACCGTGAAGCATGGAGGTGGAAACATCATTCTTTGGGGATGCTTTTCTGCAAAGGGGACAGGACGACTGCATCGTATTGAGGGGAGGATGGATGGGGCCATGTATCGCGAGATCTTGGCCAACAACCTCCTTCCCTCAGTAAGAGCATTGAAGATTGGTCGTGGCTGGGTCTTCCAGCATGACAACGACCCGAAACACACAGCCAGAGCAACTAAGGAGTGGCTCCGTAAGAAGCATCTCAAGGTCCTAGAGTGGCCTAGCCAGTCTCCAGACCTGAACCCAATAGAAAATCTTTGGAGGGAGCTGAAAGTCCGAATTGCCCAACGACAGCCCCAAAACCTGAAGGATCTGGAGAAGGTCTGTATGGAGGAGTGGGCCAAAATCCCTTCTGCAGTGTGTGCAAACCTGGTCAAGACCTACAGGAAACGTATGATCTCTGTAATTGCAAACAAAGGTTTCTGTACCAAATATTAAGTTCTGCTTTTCTGAAAAAAATACTTATGTCATGCAATAAAATGCAAATTAATTACTTAAAAATCATACAATGTGATTTTTTGGATTTTTGTTTTAGATTCCGTCTCTCACAGTTGAAGTGTACCTATGATAAAAATTACAGACCTCTACATGCTTTGTAAGTAGGAAAACCTGCAAAATCGGCAGTGTATCAAATTCTTGTTCTCCCCACTGTATATGCTTAGTTTAATACACTGAAAACAAACTTAAAGTTACCAAAAACAATTGAACTTCAATTGTCTCAGGCCAGTGGCACAACATACACTGCTCAAAAAAATAAAGGGAACACTAAAATAACACATCCTAGATCTGAATGAATGAAATAATCTTATTAAATACTTTTTTCTTTACATAGTTGAATGTGCTGACAACAAAATCACACAAAAATTATCAATGGAAATCAAATGTATCAACCCATGGAGGTCTGGATTTGGAGTAACCCTCAAAATTAAAGTGGAAAACCACACTACAGGCTGATCCAACTTTGATGTAATGTCCTTAAAACAAGTCAAAATTAGGCTCAGTAGTGTGTGTGGCCACCACGTGCCTGTATGACCTCCCTACAACGCCTGGGCATGCTCCTGATGAGGTGGTGGATGGTCTCCTGAGGGATCTCCTCCCAGACCTGGACTAAAGCATCCGCCAACTCCTGGACAGTCTGTGGTGCAACGTGGCGTTGGTGGATGGAGCGAGACATGATGTCCCAGATGTGCTCAATTGGATTCAGGTCTGGGGAACGGGCGGTCCATAGCATCAATGCCTTCCTCTTGCAGGAACTGCTGACACACTCCAGCCACATGAGGTCTAGCATTGTCTTGCATTAGGAGGAACCCAGGACCAACCGCACCAGCATATGGTCTCACAAGGGGTCTGAGGATCTCATCTCGGTACCTAATGGCAGTCAGGCTACCTCTGGCGAGCACATGGAGGGATGTGCGGCCCCCCAAAGAAATGCCACCCCACACCATGACTGACCCACTGCCAACCCGGTCATGCTGGAGGATGTTGCAGGCAGCAGAACATTCTCCACGGCGTCTCCAGACTCTGTCACGTCTGTCACGTGCTCAGTGTGAACCTGCTTTCATCTGTGAAGAGCACAGGGCGCCAGTGGTGAATTTGCCAATCTTGGTGTTCTCTGGCAAATGCCAAACGTCCTGCACGGTGTTGGGCTGTAAGCACAACCCCCACCTGTGGACGTCGGGCCCTCATACCACCCTCATGGAGTCTGTTTCTGACCGTTTGAGCAGGCACATTTGTGGCCTGCTGGAGGTCATTTTGCAGGGCTCTAGTAGTGCTCCTCCTGCTCCTCCTTGCACAAAGGCGGAGGTAGCAGTCCTGCTGCTGGGTTGTTATCTCCTACGGCCTCCTCCACGTCTCCTGATGTACTGGCCTGTCTCCTGGTAGCACCTCCATGCTCTGGACACTACGCTGACAGACACAGCAAACCTTCTTGCCACAGCTCGCATTGATGTGCCATCCTGGATGAGCTGCACTACCTGAGCCACTTGTGTGGGTTGTAGACTCCGTCTCATGCTACCACTAGAGTGAAAGCACTGCCAGCATTCAAAAGTGACCAAAACATCAGCCAGGAAGCATAGGAACTGAGAAGTGGTCTGCAAAACCAGTCCTTTATTGGGGGTGTCTTGTTAATTGCCTATAATTTCCACCTGTTGTCTATTCCATTTGCACAACAGCATGTGAAATGTATTGTCAATCAGTGTTGCTTCCTAAGTGGACAGTTTGATTTCACAGAAGTGTGATTGACTTGGAGTTACATTGTGTTGTTTAAGTGTTCCCTTTATTTTTTTGAGCAGTGTATTAGTTTGTGGTTAGATCAGAATCGCCGTCATAATCATTGGCCTGTACAGAGAATTAAGTGAAAACCACAAGCCCAAATCCCCATCTCCATCCATGGCTTAGGAAAGGGATGATTTAGTAAACTATCTACTGCAGGACATCAACACAAGCAGACCAGAAACGAAAATGATGTTTTGCTTAGGATGTGATTGGATGGGGGTGAAGCCAAATCCAAACTGGCCTCCCTTGGTGGGTGTTTTGCTGCACCAGGACAACCCACAGATGAGCCCAGCTCAATGTTGATTGGCTAATTATTTGTAGATTTTTTTTATCAAGGGAGGCCGCATGCTTGCTGGCATCCACAGCTGGTCTCAGTGAGCGCTGATAGACGTGGCCAAACACCTGGGCAACCTGCAGTTCAGAGTCTGGGAGAAGATGCAGGGGATTGTCAAACAGTGCGAACAATGGATAATATTGTAGCCCCAACCGGGACTAGCAACTGATAAGCCAACACCTTAACTGTTAGGCCAAGAGGTCCGAACCTCTTGACGAGTTCGCTGGGTGTTGGGTTAAGGTCGCTACAATATTGATGAATGGAGTTAATTGAAAGGCCAATATAACGAGACATGCATTGTTCATACAATATTACTTTTTCTGTTTTTTAGCCCCTGTGATTCTTGACCCCAACACTGCACATGCCTGTCTCTCTCTGTCCGATGATCTGACCAGTATGAGACGCTTAGGCCAAAGGCAGCAGCTCCCTGACAACCCAGAGCGGTGTATGTTCTATGCAGATGTTCTGGGCTCTGAGGGGTTCAGCTTAGAGAAGCACAACTGGGAGGTGGGGACCCACCCTTACTCGTTTCTAGGAGTGGCCAAAGAGTCCATCAACAGGAAGGTAGAAATAAATAGAAAACCAAGGTTTGGAATCTGGGAAATAGGGCAGATATGGTAAGTATATAGCAGCAGGTGGGACCCTTGCAGGATCAGAGTGCAGCTGGACCACAACAGAGGGGAGGTGTTCTTCTACGACACTAAAGACATGACACTCATCTTCACCCATAAAGACTGGTTTCCTTTCTGTTGGACTGGCTGGTGACAACAACCTTGATCTACAGATCTGCCAATCAGTGGTGTATTTGACAGTGGTGTCATCAGAGTGAGGTGTCCTGCTCCTCCTCAACATGTGGAGAGAGAGATGTTGCACTACATCTGGTGAAAAATGTGGCTAATACTGTACCAATGATTCAGCCATTAATAGTGACATATCAGTAGGCGGATTGATACATCTGAATACTGATAATCATATTAGTTACAAAGTAAATGACATTTCTTGATCAATTTATTCAGATTGAACAAATAAGCAATACTTCCAAATGCTGTGCTATACTAGTGCTTGGGAGGTGAATGTATGATTGCTATTTGAAATGTGTATTTTATTATACTTTATAACCTACAACATTATTGTTAATGTCTCTTGTGAGTTAAATAGCTTGTGAAGCTGAAGATCTCTTCAGGTAACTCAGGAAACAGGAAATAAAGAAGCATTGCTAGCTACAGTATCTTTGTCTAATGTTATTGATTAAACAAACCTGTGTTTTAGTTCATTCTGATGTCAAACAGTAAGGACCACTCAGCAAAGCTCTCTTTGGATAAACGGAGGCAGAGAAGGGAACATATGGAAAAGGAATTGATTAATTCAATGATTGATTGATCAACTGATTGGTTGATTGATTCATATTGTTTAAACCTGAAAACATATGTATCTTCTCATATGGTCATCGGTGTAAACAGACACAGGGAGAGTCTATCATTCCAGGTGCCAAGGAAACGGTTCCCAGGCAACAACTTCAGTGGCTGTGACCTCCTGACCTGTGGTAATAAAGACCCAGCGGATCACACCACTGTTATTTCCTATAAAGGTGATGGATGACATCACACAGGTGGCACACTGCAATGTGGGAGATTACTACAATACCATTGTGTGAAATGGATATTGATACAGTGAGCTATACCATGAAAGTAAATAGGTCATGTGTTGACTTCACACAACCACTAGACTTTTGATATCAGGAAAAGCAACTCATTATTTTGCTTTATTTGTTGCTCCCCATTACAATGGATCTTGTTTACATTATTTACAACTTAGAAACCACGTTACACTACTAGCATATCCTAGCTAGGACTACCTGGTAGGCATTAGCCATTATCCACATCAGCTAAATGTACCATAGCATTTTACACATAAATAAAATAGACATAATGTCTGTATAATGTAAGATAGGCTACCTTATTCAAGTAACCACTGCAGTATTTGTAGCTTGAAATCTTTCTAGACAGGAGCATATGTCATTTTACCTTATATACCGCTAACTGGAGCTAACATGACAAATAACATAGGAATCAGGTTAGCAGAAGTAAGCATGCTAACTTACCAAGCCAATTGGAGAGAGAACATGGGAAATAAAGAAAAGGGATCTCCAGAAACCTCTTGTGAAGTAACTGACACTAAGACTATTTCTAAAGAGTAATTTAACTAGGTTTTTTAAACTTATTTCCAGACCATAAAATGATAACATGCCTTTCTCTCCATCATGCAGCATGTAAGGAGCTATCAACTAGGGGCGGGACTAACAGTGAGAGAACCAATAGGCTAAAGGATAAAGCATACTCTGCTTAAGTAAGCCATTGTCTCAAAATAAGCAATGGGGGTTACAGATTATTGTACATCCTTCATCTTTTTATCAAGGTAAAGTTAGTTTAAAAATGGCAACCATTAAAAGCATCACCTCTCATTTGCTGTAAGTACAGTTTGTGGGAATCGGGCCTCCTGTCCAAACGCAAACCCTAACTCTGTCTTGCTCCATTCTCTGCCTGATGGATTAAGGCTGGGAGCGATGTCGGAGGCAATATGAACATATTGATTTAGCAATAGGCAGCCTATTAGATATGATTTATAGATGTTCATCCCCCTCTCCCATATCAAAGCCCCATTTAACCCCACCAGAGCCCCGACCTAATGGGGAGGATGGCCAGGGAATCCTAGGTGATTTACACATCTGTTCTACACACCATTATACAACACAGTGATACACTGATGCTGAAGAGCCACAGTCAATATGTGATGTTGGCATGTACATTTGCCTGCTACCAATGCACTGATTGAGTGGCAAGATTTCAGGATGGGTTCATATCACAATGTAGTCTCTAGTCATCGCGTTGCCTCCCATAATTTTGAAATGCTCCAACTTAACAGCGTATGTACATAATATGTCAGTTTGGCATAGAGGAAAAGGAGGAGTTGGGAGATCCAGCTTTCCTACTTCACTGCCTATGTCACTGCCGTTTCCCGTTGTTGCCCTAGGTAAACATTCCCTCGGTAAACATTACCGAGGATACAACTGAGCTGCTAGCTAGCTAGCTAACTTTACACATTGTTTAGCTAAGTGAATTACATGTCATCGGCTTACCTATCAGCTAGCTATCTTGATGTAATCATTGTAAATTAAAAACAGTCTCCAAATGCATTTGTAGATAACAGCCATTGAAGAGGGTGAAATTGCAGCTCCAGCTGTCAGTAAAGGGAGAGTGTAGGCTACAGGATAGGGCAGGTAGTATTGTGGGAGGACAATATGAAAAGATTATCCAGTTCCAGTCCTTAGAGGGGAAAACATTGAGGACAAAGAGATAATAGCAACATAGTATTCAGTGCTGTCTAATTTGAGTCTAATGAAGCCTGTTTCTTTGTGATGTTTTCTGTCCTCAGATATGGAAAGCTGTGAAAGTCTGTTTGCAGATGAAGATTGAGGTCCCAATGAATGTCCCAAGAGACTAAGGATATATCCTATATGCCATGGGTTATACTGTATGTCAACATCACACACAATGTATAGACCTATTACAACTGGAGCAGGCCAAACCTGATAGCTGGAGGCATGCTTGATGTGCAGGGTTCTATTTCAGCCCAGCAATAACACACCTGATTCAACTTAATAATCAAGTGTGCTATTGCTGGGCTGGAACAGAAGTCTGCTCAACCAGTTGATCAGGGATCAGTGGAGCAAGGTTGGCCACCGCTGGTATGGACTTTTATTTGTTCACCTGAAATGATGCTTTAGTAATAATAACCTACTTGTTACTACTTCATTATCTATTGTTGTTTAGACTAAGTCTAATCTTTCCATTCGAGTTAGCTTGTTTGTACATTTGTAGGTGATGAAGTGTTGATTATTTTAAGTGAAAATTATTATTTAAAATGAACTAGTGTCAATGTTGATTAATCACACATCACAATCCTGCAATAAAGAAGGGAAGGGGTGATGTCTCTGTCTGTGTTTCTGTGTTGTATTCACAAATGAACATTTCATTTTTGTCTGGTTGTAAGATCTCCAATCTGTTTTATATGATTGTCACTCTCTCAGCATATCAGCCATGTGTATTCATTTTGCAGCTTATCATATGGCATGCATCACCAATGCAGCCGTAGGCCTACAGTATGATGGCCTTATTGGACATGTGCAATGCACCACTTGTCATCTGAAGCAGAGAGTAGCTAAGCTCACACGTTGTTTACATGTTGAGCTATGGATCCCCAAAAAATATATCCCAATGCCCCAGAGCAGTGACTGGGGACATTGCCCTGTGCAAGGTGCTGTCTTTCAGATGAGAAGTTAAATGGGTGTCCTGACTCTCTGTGGTCACTAAAGATCCCATGGCACTTATTGTAAGAGTAGGGGTGTTAACCCCGGTGTCCTGGCTAAATTCCCAATCTGGCCCTCATACCATCATGGCCACCTAATCATCCCCAGATTCCAATTGTCATGCCCCCTCCTCTCCCCTGTAACTATTCCCCAGGTCGTTGTGAAGCATAAACAAAATAAACACGGAATACGTTGATACACACTGAAAGCCGGGACTCCACAGATCATGAGGATCTTATTTGTCTGCCTGTGACCTACCGTTATTGATTTGGTCTGTGTTTGAGCTATAGCTACGTGGGGGGTGGGCAACACATTTACATTTAAGTCATTTAGCAGACGCTCTTATCCAGAGCGACTTACAAATTGGTGCATTCAACGTAGGATAGCCAGTGGGACAACCACCACTGGGGGAGGGGGGGGTGTAGAAGGATTACTGTTATACTATTCCAGGTATTCCTTAAAGAGGTAGGGTTTCAAGTATGGGTATCAAATTAATCCTTAGGTTCGTAGGAACAAATCTAGCCTATTGCCAATGTTATTTGATGACGTATGACTTCATGGCAACATCGAATGGCCACCGAGTGACTATATCTTTGCACATCAAAAATATGATGTTGCCTGCTTACACGCTTAGGCATCCATTACACAGGGGATTGGCTACTATGGCACCTTGACAGTCTTGTAGCCAATGAGATAAGCTTTAAAAATCGCCATAATAATCTGTCTTTGAAACCTCTCCTGAGCCCGTTGGGGAGTTGCAGCGATGAGACAAGATTGCAATTGCATTGCAATTGGATATCACAAAATTGGGGAGAAAAAGGGGATAAAATACAAACAAAAAAACACAAAATATAACTTATTTTATATGTAAACAGAGAGTGACCTGTTGAGCTTTAAATGACTGTAATAGTGTGTGTGTGTGTGTGTGTGTTTGTGTGTGTGTGTGTGTGTTGTGTTGTGTAGGTGTGTGAGTCTGCTCTCTGCTCTGTCTGCTCTGCCTCTCTGTATCTCCAGACTGGTAATGTATTCCCAAATCCATTCCCATTTCTCTTGGCAGTAGTAGATACACACATACACACATACACAGTCTGTGCTTTCTGGCAGGACACCAGTCAAATGGGTTTGGCTCCCACTAAGATTAAGTGATTTATTTTGTACCTATCCTGCAGGATGGAGATGGTTCGGCTGTTGGCAGCATCATGTTTAAATAATGACAGCAAAGTTATATTCCTGAGATAGATTCTAATGAGGATCATTGACACATTGGCAGCCTGTATTTACCTGTTCCATAGCTGTCCAGCTGGTTCATGACTTTTGGATTAGGGTTGGGATAATAATGGAACTTTATATAATGATAACTCTGTGATAACAATAATATTATGATGATTGACCTTAT